TGTGTGTGTGTTTGTGTGTGTGTGTGTGTGTGTGTGTGTGTGTGTGTGTGTGTGTACAGTATCACTATCACAGTAGATATTATCCTACACTACACTGACGGGATCAACGCGTCTGAATGCCCTAGCAGTCTCCATGACTGTTCAAAAGATTTAAAGAACTAAACACTTTTATTCATCAAGGATGCATTCAGTTGATCAACATTGCCAGTAAAGACATTTATAATGTTACAGTAGATTTCTATTTCAGATAAATGCTGTTCTTTTGAACTTTCTATTGAAGACTGGAGTAATGATGCTGAAAATACAGCTGCGCATCACAGAAATAAATTACATTTTAACAGATATTCAGATAGAAAACAGTTATTTTAAATTGTAAAAATATTTCACTGTTTTTACTGTATTTTTGATCAAATACAAGCAGCCTTGGTGAGCAGAAGAGATTATTTCAAAAACAATAAAAAAGCAAACTGACATCAAACTTTTTAACTGTGGTGTGTGCATCTTTTTTTAAGTTTTTTTTTTTTTGCTTTATTGTGGGTAAAACAGTATGATTTATGCAATAGAAGATCATTTGACTGTGACATGATCAATGACACTTACATTTGATTAGTCATACAGAAATAGAGCACAATCTGAAGATTATGATTTGTTTATGTCTTAACTCTTTGCTCTGTTCTCAGGCTCCACAAACACACATGAAGCGTTGCGAAATGAGACCGGAGTGCTGATATTTCCTCCTCATGTTGTTCTGTTTTGAATTATACACACTGATTTGAGTGCATCTGTTGTGTTGTGTTGTTAAAGCATTTCCTCTCTCTGTGTGTGTGTGTGTGTGTGTGTGTGTGTGTGTGTGTGCAGATGTGGACGAGTGCCAGGCCATTCCTGGACTCTGTCAGGGGGGAAACTGTGTGAATACTGTGGGCTCATTTGAGTGCAAATGCCCTGCTGGACACAAGTTCAACGAAATTACACAGAAATGTGAAGGTAATGACACACTCACACACAGACACACACACACACACACACATATCAGAACTCATTGTTCAGCTCTGCAGCTGGAGTTTGCCTCTACACACATGATCTCAGATGTTTCTCCTAGCGAATGTAGAACAAACAGAGACTTATTCTGAAGTTCTCAGATGTTTCTCCTGAGAAAAGTCCCTAATGATGTTGGCAGAACAACATTCTTTCATTATTCGTGGAACGTTTTTCTGAAGCGTTTTAGTTGGGCTTCCATCTAATGTTTTTAAATAACATTTTTAGAACATTCAGACAACATTCAAATGTAACATTCTCATAGTCTTTGGAAAATGATAAAATAGAATGTTCGTATATAATCAAGACATTAAACATTTAAAAAAACTGGATGTTTTGAATGTTCAGAAGTAACATTTTCACAACTCTCAGAATGTTAGCAAACGTTTCTGGAACATATTTTTGATAGTTGGAAAGATACCAAAACCTGCAGTCAGATCTCAATATGAGACACTGAAACAAACAAATGAAACATTTCTCATCAGATAAAGACTAGTGACTCATTTGGGCCTGTTTTTGTCTCTCTTGAGGTCTTCTTGGAGAAACATCTGAGACTAAGCTCCTCTGAGTATTTATCTGCGTGTATTTTTGTCCTCTTCAGCTGTGAGTGTGTTTGTGGTTTAATCTGGTTTAGTTCAGCTCTTCAGTTAAACATGTATGTTTTACAGTCGAATGGTAGATCTTTGACTCTCTCACATAATCTAATCAAACTCCATCCACAGTTCAGTGCATTTATTATTTTCATCATTTATGCATATGGATGTTGATGGTCACAGAAGACGATGTGCTGGTTCCCTGGTGGTCTGATGTCACTTAGACAGCCGCATTAGCATGAGTTTGTTTAGACAGCGAGTCTGAATCTTCTGTCGTTATCTCAGAGTCGACGCTTTCAGATGTGTTTATAGGACAGACGGAGAGAGTCTGGCTGCTTCGCTGTGTTTACAGCAGGGCAGAAAGGTTTTATTTTTAATTGTGTTCGACCAAACAGGTCATTACTGAACTGGAGTGAGACTCTCTAAAGCAGTAGCGAGTGTGTGTGTGTGTGTGTGTGTGAGATCCGTACCCAGAAATAACGGCCCAGAGCTCTGGAAAGCACCCGAGCGAGAGCCAAACTCAGACTGCTGTCCATTATTAGTCAAGTCGTATTTCACTGCAGACATGCTGCGGTCAGTCGTCTGACAGTAAATCTGACGTTCATATTGCTCAATAATTCACATCACACAGCAAAACCCCTTCGAACGCGGCGTCCCGCAGCTGCAGGGTTGTGTAGATGACGGCCCGTTGCTCTCTTTAGTAGTTTGGGTGCCAGAATCCGAGTCTCGAATTGAAAAATGTGACGTGAGACTTGATTTAGATTCCAAATTAGCTCGTTGAGTGTTTCTAAAAACTCACCCTCAGATCATCCCAGATGTAGATGAGTTTGTTTCTTCATCAGATTTGTAGAAATGTGTCATTGCATCACTTGCTCAGCAATGGATCCTCTACAGTGAATGGTAGGGTTGGGTATCATTTGAATTTTATCAATTCCAATTCCGATTCTTATCGATTCCCAGTTTCGATTCCAATGTGTCCAAGTCAAACATTTAGATATCAAACATATTTATTTTGTGTCTCTTTTTGCAAAACATTTAATTGCTGCTGAATACCATGAATAAAAATCAGCCGGCTACACAAAAACTGGACTCTGGATAAATTGAGACTTTTTTTTTTTAAATGGAGGTTGTAGTTCTCTCACAATTCTGAAGAAAAACATATTAGACAAGTAAACAAAATCTCATGGAATGTATGCATGGAATGATTCAATGACTCACTCAAGATTGACTCGTTTCATTACTGGACGAATCAGTGTTTTTGAATGAATCTCTTGAATGAATGATTCAAAGACAAATACGTTTTTAACAACCCCTTTTTCGCCAGCTAAAAATAAAAGATGCACACACATGAATTGATACGTGGAATTTAAATTTACATTTTACAAGAAGTATCCGATTCTGGAATTGGAATTGATTTTTGATTCCCAACCCTAGTGAATGGGTGCCGTCAGAATGAGAGTCCAAACAGCTGATAAAAACATCACAATAATCCACAAGTAATCCACAGCACTCCAGTCCATCAGTTAACATCTGGAGAAGACAAAAGCTGAAACAAATCCAGCATTAAGACGTTTTTAACTAAAATACATAGAGTCCATAATCCATAATAACGTTTCCTCCAGTGAAAAAGTGCATCTCCTGTTGTCTCTCTCATCAAAATCCAGCCACATATGTGTTTAGAGCTGTTTAAACGCTGCTTGATCTGTGCAGATTTCTCTCCTGATTCACACCAGAACACTTTTTCACTGGAGGAAGTGTTATTATGGATTATGGGCTCTATGTATTTGAGTTAAAAACAACTTAATGCTGGATTTGTTTCAGCTTTTGTCTTCTCCAGATGTTAACTGATGGACTGGAGTGCTGTGGATTACTTGTGGATTATTGTGATGTTTTTATCAGCTGTTTGGACTCTCATTCTGACGGCACCCATTCACTGCAGAGCATCCATTGCTGAGCATAAGAGACATCTTCATAAATCTTACCGACCCCAAGTAGTGTAGATATCAATTACTACTGCAGTCATTATCCAGAAGATCATCACACGTGCTTCAGAAGATGTGCAGGTAAGTAGCTGCACTATAGCTTTGACTAGTATGATTTTCTCAGACGGTCAGCGTTTGATGGTGAAGGGGTTTGTACTGTAGCGGCTGGTTTAAGTGTGATGATCTGATGGGTTTTGTGTCTCTCAGACATTGACGAGTGCTCTCAGATCCCGGGCCTGTGCAGTGCAGGTCAGTGCTCCAACACCATAGGCAGCTACTTCTGCAGGTGTCCGGTGGGCTTCGACACGGCGCTGGACGGCTCGCGCTGCATCGGTGAGTCCCACCGACTCTCACTGTCACAGTCTAACTCATTAACCTCTCCTCCTGTCTGCTTCCTGCTGTGTGTGTTTCCTCCGTGTGTGTTTGCAGAGAAACTATTCACATTTTCTTAATGTTCAGATTTAAAGTTGTAATAAAAACCTAAAGGAGGAGGGCAGTAGATCCTTCGAAATCCACTGTAAACTCACATTCAGATCTGAAATGAAACACCCATTTCACACCATCTCATCAGTTCACTATGAGAAAGCCATATCTTGCGTGCTTTTCTCATTCTCGTTCTCATTTCTGAAGGCTCGAAGTTAATATTTCAATAAGTTAGTAACACATTTGCATGTTAACGGTCTCTGATGTTAATGGTCACATGACATGCAGCTAAAAAAATTTATTGTTTCATCTCTAATTGTTTTATTTAAACCGGGTTTGAATGTCATTTGACTTGAACTGACTTTGGCAGAACATGTACAGTTCCTGATGAATTACATGAAACTGTAAAAATAAGTGTTTGTGTGTGAGGCCTTCAGAGGAGGCCGTCCTGTGTGTGTGTGTGTGTGTGTGTGTGTGTGTGTGTAAGTGGGTCAGTGGTCTTCAGCTGATGTGTGTTGGCTGTGTTTGTGTGGAAGGAATGTGCGCAATGACTCGATCCACTCCAAACGTTTCCCAAGCCAAACATCCCTTTCTTCTCCTCCATCATTGCGCGCCGCTCCGCTCGCTCGCTCACGTTACTCCTGCAGCTGGAGATGCTCTGTCATTACACAGACTGTGCCGTCACACCGCGAGTGTGTGTGTGCGTGTGTGTGTGTGTGTGTGTGTGTGGCCACATACCCAATGCGAGGTGACATACGCATGTACCCAGCTAACAAAAATATGCCCTAAGTTGTGAAAACATTATTTCTGAAAGCTCTATGAACATTCAAAACATACAGTTTTTTTAAATATTTTAAAAACATTTTTTTTTAATGAGAATGTTAAGGGAACATTCCATTGTATCATTTTACATCGTTCTGTTAACGTTTGATCATAACTTTGAGAAAACCTTTCCAGAACGTTCTGAGAACGTTCTCTCTTAGCTGGGTAGATGTGTGTTTGTGCATCACTAAAGGATGTTTCACCGATTCACAAGTGTTTTTTAAACAGATGTTCTCTTTAGCCAATAAGATGTGAGTTTTTAACCCAGCCAATAATCATAATACGCACACATGATCATATGAAAAAGTTTGTACATGTAGAAACATTGAGAAATGTGCAAACACACTTGTGTATTTTAATTGTTTTTCATTTGCAAATAGTATTTTGTGATTAAGAACGAGTGAACATAGCAACACCTTAGCAACCACCCTGACTACCATAGCAGCCGCATAGCAACACCTTAGCAACCACCCCGGGTACCCTAGCAACCGCATAGCAACACCTTAGCAACCACCCCAATTACCCTCATTGCACTTATTGTGTGACTGCATCAGATGATGGTAGCTCATGTAGCGTTCTGTGTTTGTGTGCTCCGCTCCAGACGCTCGGACGGGCTTCTGCTACGCTAACATCGTGAGCGGGCGCTGTGCTAACCTGCTGCCGCAGCGTATGTCCAAGAGCCAATGCTGCTGTGAGAACAGAGGATGCTGGTCCGGATCCAGCGTCCCAGAGATGTGTCCCATCCGCGGAACAGGTGAGGATGAGAATCCTTCATGGCGCTCTCAGTCTCTCAGTTCAATTCAAACAGCTTTACATGGCTTTTATTTAAATGACATGGAAAACAGTTAAGAACAGCTGAACAATTGAAATAGTATTTTGAACAAGCACCATAAATGCCTTTCGTGGGACTTAACAATAACACAGAATAGTATACGCAAAATATGGGATTTGGATCAGTCTCATCTGACCGATACCCAATCCGGCAGAAAAAGCCAGTATCGGAGCCGATATCGATAATGAGTATCGGATCGATGCATCCCTAGATTAGATAGCTAATGATAAAATCTTTTTATTAGTGGAAAAAAAACATTTAATTGAAGTGATAGTTTGGTTTGCAGACATCAAAGCTTGATTTAGCTCAGGACTGTTTTGATTATCTGTAATTACCTTTATTTATTTGTTAGAATATGTGACCCTGGAGCACAAAAGCAGGCTCAAGTCGCTGGGGTATATTTGTAGCAATAGCCAACAATACATTGTATGGGTCAAAATTATAAATTTTTCTTTTATGCCAAAAATCATTAGGATACTAAGTAAAGATCATGTTCCATGAAGATATTTTGTAAATTTCCTACCATAAATATATCAAAACTTCATTTTTGATTAGTAATATGCATTGCTAAGAAGACAACATTTAAAAGACAACATTTTTTTGCACCCTCAGATTCCAGATTTTCAAATAGTTGAATCTCAGCCAAATATTGTCCTATCCTAACAAACCATACATCAACGGAAAGCTTATTTATTCAAGTCTCATGACCCTTATGATTGGTTTTGTGCTCCAGGGTCACATATGTATAACTCAATATTTTAACTAATTGCAAAAGCTGAATAATCAATCAAAGTCTACTGATTAATAAGTGAAATAATCATCGATTAGTCGATTAAGCATTCTAATAATCGTTAGATTAATCGATTATCAAAATAATAATTTGTTGCAGCCCTAATTATTGTGGTACAGAAATTGTAACATTGTAACACTCTAACTAACAAACTGAAACTGAATAATACTCTCTCTCTCCCTACTCAGAGGAGTATCAGATACTCTGTCTGTATAGTCACACGGTTCCTGATCCAGACCGACCAGATCTGATTCCGCTTCCGGGTCCAGGTCCGCTTCCGCTTCCGGGTCCTGGTATTGGTCCTCGTCCTGTTCCTGGTCCTGGTCCGGGTTTTCCCGATGACCCACGAGATCCTTACCCTCGTGATCCGATACCTTTGCCGCCCACATCTGTTGACCTTCCCTCCTTCACCATCAGACCTGGTAATGTACACAAACAAACACCTCCGCGCTCTGTACTGAAGGGCTGTTAAGGGCAAAAACACGCCTCACTTCCTGTTTACTTCCTTGCTGTCAGTTTGTAAATGTGTTACAAATGGATTGGTATATGAAACTGTTCATATCAACAACACTTCAGTAACTTCTTACTGGCTTTGTGTCAGAATCATCTGTTCCAAATGCCAGGCAGATCTGATGAAAGAGCGGCGTGTGTTGAACATACTTCAGTCGCTTCCTGTTTGCTTCAGAGTTAAAATGCATTTGATCAGTGATTCTCAACCTCTTTGACTCCAGGGCGTCCATAATATTCAACATGTTTCCTCTGGATCTGCTGTAATGACAACGTTTTTTGTTTACTTTTTTTTTTTAATTTACAGAAACTAGGAGTATTCATAGATTCAAACAAATCAAATTTAAATTCAAATTAAGATAATAAGATTTTAGGATTCCACAAGTTTCCAGAAGCTGAATGTTTTTCAGGGTTCCTGCTCTTTTTAACCACTGAGTTCATTACTTTTTTTGATAAGGGTTTAAAAAAAAATGTTTTACTCTCTAAAAATGTATTAATCCTGCATACTTCTTGCAGAATTTTTATCCAATGCACATATGAATGATTCCAGATGTGCAAGGCACTATATTTTTTTCTACTTGATAAGATATTTTACAGCATGGCATGACTAGAAAATTGTAAATTCATAATAAAATTCCCATGGCATTTTAAGATCTGAATAATTTCCATGATGTTTCATGTCTAGAAATCTTTTAAAATGAGGCTTCCTCATATCAGTGATATTTTAGTATCAGTGAGATACTATTATAGTTGTTATTATTATTTTGAATCAGTTTTTATTTTTATATTTTCTGATTTGATTTAAACTTTAGTTAAAGTGTTAGTATTTTTTTTTTGCCAGTTTTAGTAGTTTTTATGCCTATGTATATACTAGTTTATTAATTTTTATTTATAATAGTTTTTTTTTGTTATTTTAGTACATCAAGTTAAATTAAAATGAGAAATGTTGCCTTGGCAACTAGCTGAAATAAAGTTGTTTTTATTTTATTTCAAATAACCAAAATGTTTTTATGGTTTTATTTGTAGTTTTAGTTAACTGTAATAACCCTGCCTCATATATTCAGGTTTTTCTAGACCGTGTGAATCCTGGTTGAGAGCTGCTGGTTTCGAGGGTTTGAGAGGCTGATCAAACTCAGCTAGTTTATCAAATTTCTCAACTTTTCTCCATTCATGTGTCACAGTGTTGAGACTCTGAGCCTGACGGTTTCCCGTCTCTCTCTCTCTCTCAGTCATCCTGTCTCAGAACTTCAGCATCAGGAACATGTGCGAGGCGTTTCGTAACCTGTGCATCAACGGCCGCTGCGTGCCGACGCCAGGCAGCTACCGCTGCGAGTGCAACATGGGCTACCGGCTGGACGGCCGCGGCGAATGCATCGGTCAGTGCGTCGCCTGATATCAGACGTGTGGAAGGTGTCTGCGGCGAGCGTTTGATCACGTGCTGTGTGTGTGTTTAGATGCGAACGAGTGTGAGCGGAGCCCCTGTGTGAACGGGGAGTGTGTGAACACCCCTGGATCCTATTACTGCCAGTGTCCCACCGGATTCCAGAGCACGGCCACCAGAACCGAGTGTCGAGGTAAACATACACAAACACACGCCACATGTGCACACTAGGGATGCACGATATTATCGGAACTAGGGGTGCACCATATTATCGGAACTAGGGGTGCACCATATTATCGGAACTAGGGGTGCACCATATTATCGGAGCTAGGGGTGCACCATATTATCGGAACTCGGGATGCACCATATTATCGGAACTAGGGGTGCGCCATATTATCGGAGCTAGGGGTGCACCATATTATCGGAACTAGGGATGCACCATATTATCGGAATTAGGGATGCACCATATTAGATTTTTGCCGATATTCGATATACCGATATTTTTCATATCATTTTGGCTGATAGTCGATGCCGATACCGATATATACATTTCCCTTTGATTTGAAACAACACCAAGTCTCTCCTGTGCGGAAATTATAAACAAATTATTTTAAAATTTGGTTAGTTTTGAGCAAAAACATATTTGTTTGAAGTAATAAACTTTATTAAAGTTCTTTTTTTAATGAGAGTACATTGAAAGCATTGAAAATAACTAATAAAATCAATCTCTGCTGTGTTTTTTTCTCTCAGACAAATGCAGTTGAACCGTAAGATTTTAATTGTGGATTTAACATTATTAGATGGTCTAAAGCAAAGGAGTTGTAAAAATACAAAAATTATTTTAGAGCTCCTTATATTTAAGTTTTCATAATCCATTTGAAAAAATATATTATTGAATAAATATGTTTATATCAAATTATTTAATCATGAGTATGTTTTGATTTAAAGGTCAGAAGCTGTAGCTTACATGAATAAAAATCACAAACATGACACTTGTAAACAGGGTGTCCGCGGGTCCTTAAAAAGTCTTAAAATGTCTTAAATAACGTTTTCCTAATATAAGGCCTTAAAAAGTCTTAAAATGTCTTAAAT